GCTTTATTTTCTTCCATACAGTAGGCAGTAATCGGAGAGTAAATAAAAGTTTTTTTCTTTCTTTTTTTAAAGTCTTGAGTAGTCCGTTTATTTTAACCTATAGATATATTAACTTCTGGTTTCTTAGAAACTACTTTTTTTTCTAGTTCTTTTTCGGCTGATGCTGAAAAGTTAGAGGTTGATATATGTATTGAGCAAATAAAACAAAAAAAAAAATATCCTCTGATTTCAGTATATTGATAAAAAACGTATCTGGCTTAATTTATTTGGGGATATAATTCAATGTTTTCTGTAGATTATTTAACTGTTCATTAAACTTTCAGTTATTATCCGTAAAATAGATAATAAAAGAGACATATAAAAGTATAAAATTGCACCGTAAAAACGTAAAATTGATGATATTAAAAATTTTGAATTAATCTATATCGTTTTACAGGATTATTATTTGTTCATATGTATGTTAATATTTAAATATTGAAAACAAATCGTTAAAATCTCCAGTATCTTTGCATGTCATTTTTACGAGCTTATAAGCATTTTAATTTAATATCACAATGTAATGAGAAAATATATTATTTAATAAAATTAAGCAAAAGAGAAAATATATGGCTATAAAAAATAAATAATTTTTTTTTATCTGGAAGCTAAGGAAATAAACAAAAGCAAATAATAATGAGTTTCATACTTATCTTAAAGCACCGAAACTCAAAATAAGTTACATTTATATTTTTATAGATAGAGCTTTCTGCATATCTAAACGAGTAAGTATTCATATACCTATTTAAGGATTTATAAATATTTACTTAAACTATATTCAGAATAATAAGGATTTAAACCACTTAAACACATGTAGGAACATCAAAGAACAAGTTAATAAGCTAAGTTTACTAAATATTTCTTACATTGTTATCGTTTTAGATAAACAAAACAAAAAACTATTTGTCATGAGGAATTTATTTATTTTGCCTTGAAGTAATTTATTTGTTTTCCGTAAAACTATTTTTTTTCACAACCTTTTTTTAGGGATCCATATAATCTTATTATTATAAACGCATTTAAGGAAAATATGAATTCAATCATTTTTATTGCCCCTTTTTATGTAAAAAAAACATTAAACGAAATTCAAATGTAAATAAATTTATTAGATTCTTCTTTCTTTTCTCTAAGAGAAAAATGTATTTATTATTTCGTTTAGTGTTTATAAAACATGAATTTCAATTAAATGAATATTGCCAGAGAATTTCAATTTTATCAATATTTTAAGTGTTGTTTCGAATCAATTGTCGTTTATTTTTTTAAAAAAAATACGCTTTTAAATTGAATAATCTCCTCAAAAACTTTTATTTCATGAGACATAATAAGACTTTTATTTTATTTGTTTTTTTAAAAGAATAACTACATTTCACTTGCAATTTATTGAAGAGGAAAATATTTTCTGTTATGAAAAACATTTACATTAAAAATATAAAGTTTAAAGCAATGAATATCATAATTTAAAATTGGCTCTTGTAAAAATTGATTCAGAGAGCAAAATGATGGTTTATTTTTTAACAGTGTATTAACTTTTTTTAGAATGAAAGAGAAAAACTTATTTTAAAACCGATGAAAACGAATTTTTTATGAATCACTTCAATATACGTTTAAATAGATTCTTTATGAATGTCATTTGTATATATTTTTCCATTATGAAATACAGAATAACAATTATGATGAATTGAATTCAACATATATAATAACCAAATAGATATAAAAATAAATTTAATCGATATATGAATAAATTACTTGCTTCTATATTTTCATGCAATTCTTTTCAAAAAATAAATTTTACAAAAATTCTTAAACAGTCAAAATTAACATTTTTGTCTATTCAAGAGTAAAAAAAAATTGTTAAGTACATAAGAAGAAAAGTGAAAAGCCAGGTCTCTGAAAAATGACTGTGAATGGCAGAAAATGGGGGGGGGGGTAACAAAGACATAAAACTATTAAGGAAATATAATTCTTTAATGATTGATTACCATGGAAGCTATCATTAAATTGACATAAAAAAAAAAATGCTTATAAAACCATTTTCATGTAACAAAGTTTTGTAACAAATGCTTGGATATTTATATTATTCATTTTAAACATGCAATATATGAAATGTAAAAAAATGTATATATATCTCACATGAAAATTCCAAAATTGGATACAGAAAACATTAGTTGAAAAGAAAAATAGTAGAATTAAATTGTTTTTCATGACAATGATAGAATTTAACGTTGGTAAGACTGTGATCAACAGAATTACTACGGTGGTTAGCTCAGTTCAACTTTTATTCATGATTTCTAAATTCAAACTCATTAAAGATTATAACAGATTCAAATTCTTTCACAATTAAATTGACCACAGTTACAATTATATCAAAACAGTTAATAGTATAGAAATAACGAGAGGTTTGCGCGCGCAGACATTGTGTGGCATCTGCTATCTTCACCTAGCTGGCAGACTGACTGGTTAAGTAAGTATTCACTCGGCGAACAGAGTGCTCACTATAGTCCATCTTTTTAGAATTCTCGTTACACGTTTTAAAATTACAGTATATTATTCGACAAAAGTCAAAATGCTAGTTAGGACAAATAAAAGTGGTTCGGACTGGTGGATACGATAGGAAGTGAAGGTGACGCATACACCAAGGAATCGAATCCGGTTCAGACGTTAGTGCTGGCTCTGTCATTTTAAATTGATCAACGGCAATCCATTCGTGGGAACTTTAATTAAGGAGGAAAAGACCTGTAGAATTACTTCAAACAGGATGGTACACCTTCTCATACATCTCACCAAACCAAACATTTACACAATCTTCACTCCTGACAGAGTTGTTAACGATGACCAGTCTAGTCTTGGCCCTAGCTGGCCACCCATTTCACTTGATGTGTCAGTGTGTGATTACTTTTATGTAGGGAACCATCAAGTCTAAGGTGTACCGCAACAACCCTCATTGACTTCAAGCACTGCAACAAAACATTTCCGATGAGATTGTAGCAATTTCAGCAGTCCAGCTCTTCAAACTGCCTTTCATAACTTTATGACCAGGAATCAAAGGCTTCAAGAGAGGAATTGTGGGCATTTTCAATATCTGCTATAAGCATGTTAACGAATTATCTCCTTTCCTTCGCCGTGTTTATTTGTAACCTTGAACTCTGTTCTCCGTGTCACTTTTATTTGCCCCACCCTGTAACGTACCATGTTTTATGAAATATATATTACATCACACATTATTTGATTTTAGAAGGCTTTTTTATTCTAGGAAACTAGATCTCTCTGAAATGTGATGTTCATTCAGGACACACACATGATAGTTCATATTGTTTACCCACAGCATAGGCAAAATATTAAACAAAATCGGCCGCCCGGACGCGATAGCGGTTAGTGACACTTACTGTGGCGAAGGGTCGGGCTCGAATCCCGGAGAAGACATGGATGTTTGTAAATGTATACTTCTTAACCTGCACGGGACACTATATATATCAGGAATGGGCACTAAGTCGATCGCAATCGACCGGTGGACCACGAAGATATTTTAGGGTGATCGCCTTTGGTAACACCTAAAACACACTACTAAAAGAAACATATTTATGGAACATAGATGCCATGTGGAAGAAGGAGTGGAATTGTTAAATGCACTGTGTTAATTAAATGATTCGATTAATGTGCAAACAAGACATGCACCTTTGTTGGAAGAGAACAAAGACGCTTAACACACGTTGACTGAAGGAGAGAGTAAATGTTGATGATCAACTCTTCCCGTGATAGCGCGGCATTGGCTATTGATCTCACATTTTTATCCCACATCCTTATTATTCTACACACCGCTCTTAAACAGGTTTGGGATCTCGTGTTGATGTCATGCCCCGCAATGGCGCGGGACTCAACAGCGGACAAATTAAGTACATACGTCGTTTTCAGATTCATCGATTCATGTATGTCTTCTGCTCACTGCATTGAATACATCCACGATCTAAAAGTCGTTCGTAGTGGTTCAAGCATTCAACTTAACAAATTTGTGTTACTTGTATTTTTGTATTAAACATATTAGTCTGACTTATTTCTAAAGAGGGTACAACGAGTGTTAAGAAAACATACAATTTTAATACAAAATGGCCATACCTACGCTACTGGGTGGACCGCAACACCTTAAAAACATCAGAAGTGCCCGTTTCCTGGAGAGTCTGCCTAACCTGGCTATATATATTTGGTGAGCTGAAAGTCTTCTGGAAAGGTTAGCGGTAGAAGGAGAGCTTTGAAGAACCCCTAGACCACTCAGGGTTCTCGTCCACAAAATAGAGAGGATCGGAGTGAAACTTACTGTCACCTGCGTGGTGCTCAAAGCGACAGCCTAAATGAAGAAATAATCTAATCCTTTAGCCACGATGAATTTCTTGGTTTTGACTCGATGTTACTATGGATCGGGTTGGATAATTAACAACAACAACAAAAATCATTTGGAAATTTTCCAACATTTATGCTTTAATTATTTTTAGAAAAATTGTTAATGTACAGTAAGATTGTACAGTTGTACTATTACTATCGTCCTTTTTTGTATAAGATGTTAGAGAAACCATGGCATCCGGATGAAATGGTGTAAAGGAAAAACATTTTATATTGCATATTAGAATGAAAATTGTCGTTTTTTGAAATATCTCGCAGCATCTAAAATTAACAAGTAATATAAAAAGAAAATTAAAAGTCAATTCCTACTTAATTCAACAAAGAAAAACAATTATTTTAGTAACTATTTATTGAATAATTACAATTAATATAAATGTGTATATAAATATAACACACATAATCACACTATTAAGTGGCAAATTAGAAAGTGATTTTAACTGCAATTTTCCATTTTTTTTCTATATAGGGTGTTGGACTATTATTTTTGTTTGCTACTATTTACTCATCAATTAAATTTAATTATTACAATAAAACAGTACAGTAAAAAGACATCACATTCTCTTAAATTAGGCTATCCCAGGTGGGATTCAAACCCACGACCCTTGGATTAGAGGCTCAAAGTGCTATCCATTGCACTACCGGAACACAACGAGCGATTTGTTTTATGTATAGTGTTGGACTATCTTTTTTTGTTTATTTCTTTTTATTCATAAATTTTAAATTTAATTAATGAATTAATATTTGAAAAAAACTATATTAACATCAAGTATCATCCACTACAAGTTTAAAAATTGTATTTGAACTTAAATGGATGGATAGAAAGTATTTTATTAACGATTGAAAATTTGAACAAGATATATATATATAAATTTATATATATAGGGAGAGTGTTAACTAATAGTAGGAACTAAAAAATGGAATGAAATTTAAATTTTAAAGCACATTTTTGTCCAAAGATTACAGTGTTCTTCAAAGTTCATGTATACTCATCACATGAAGAAAGACGTAGGGTATTAAAATTAAAGATTAAAAATATATTCTCAGTATACTCATAAATTTTAAAAATCGACAGGTTGAGTAGTGAAGGATTTTTAAGACAATGTACTTATGAAAAAAAGAAATTAAAATTGGTTATTAAAATTAACGCAAAATACTTGAGAGCGAATAAATTAGTGAATGTCGGCTAATTTATTCATTAAATAAAAGTAAATAGATTCCGCGGCGGATAACATGAAATCTTTTCCATTATCTTGTACATAAACATGAAAATAAAGTAGAAAATGTAACATCAACCTAATTTCAGTGCAATTTGTACACTCAGATTGATTATGCATGTTTTTGATTTTGCTGTACATCAAAGGATAACCGTAATGGAAAACTAATTAAAAATGGAAATAAGCAAATTAGATGCATTAGTTCAATTAAAGTTAATTTTGTATTTGGTGAACTGTGTTTGAGGAAATATAAACCCCAAAAGCGTAGTTTTAATAAATGAAGAACAGAGAAGTTTAATTTCAGATCCAATTAGTTAAGCTCTGTACCACAAAAATTTAATATTTTTTTAAAAAATTTATTTATAGCGCAGGAGTGTTAATATGTATCTCCTCAAATTCCCAAAGCATATTCAGTGTCATCAGCATTTTCCTTTCAAAGCAGGAACTTTTTATTCTTTTAATATAGAAACTAATATGTTTCTATAATACATAAATGTATATACGTGTGTGTGCATTCATGTGTATGTGTGTGTATGCTATTGCTGATTATTTTGGTACTGAAGATCTGTTATATTCTTAGAAATTTTTGATAAACTTGTGGCTTAATACTTTTCGAATCTTACCATGGTGACAATTCCAATTTTCGAAATTTTAAAATTTTAATGCATTGGATATTTTTATTTTAGCCTACCAAATGGCAATAGGGAAAACGTTGATACCATCAAACTAGTTTAACTCCACTATGTCCGATGTTAAGCTTGTTTAACTTGTGTTAGTTTTAAAACCATATTTAAAATGTACTTTTTTATTGTTTTGTTCGCCATTGTGATTTTCTATTTTGATGTATTATTATAATTATTACTATTATTTTGCTTTTCTGAAAAAGTTTGTAATTTATTTTTATGTATTTAATTATGTATACAATATGATACTTAAATATACTGTATAATATTAGAATATATAGAAATTTCGAGTTGCAAACACTTACCCTTTCTATTTGATGTATTCATTGATGAATAATTCATGTCTAGGAAGATTGATTTTTTTTGAATTTTTTCATTATTTCATTTGTAATTATTTTAATATTGCGAACTTTAAGGCATTACTACACACGATGTTTTAATTTTATTCTATGGTCCCTATAAAAATCTACGAATTTTAACACAATTTATAGTAAATATAAGTAATATAATTTTGAGTAAGCAGATAAGTAATATAAATTTTGACCGCTCGAGTATATCAATTAGAACAAATGCATAGCTATGGTGAATTATACTTTGCTTACGTTGAAATAAAAAAAAATAACATAATTTCACACACTCATAATACAGAATTTTAATTGTTTTTGACGTTATAACAGTATTAATGTAAATTGAATTAAAAATTTAAGAATGAATATGCATTAAGTTTAATTACCTTAAGGAAATGCATTTTTAATTAAAATAATAATTAATCAGCAAAAGGTATTCAAAACTAAAACTCAATTTGATACGAGAAATTAAATGCTGAAATAAATAACTCTTACTCAATGTTAAATGATCCGTCTCCAAAAGGATTTACCAGTCACAAAATCTACAAGACGAAAAAAAGACCAAGCGAAAACAAAGCCAACCCATTCTCTCTCTTTCCAAAGCATTTCATCTCTAAAATACTAAACCAACTTGACAAACATAGTGGAAAATTTTCTATTACCTACAGGGGAGATTATTTACATTTGGATACAGCTGCATTACGGAGACCTGTAATCCTATACTCACCTTATTGTGCATCTTAAACTCCAGCGAGAGAGAAAGAAATTCTGACAGCCAAGATTTTCTGTTTCAGAGGTGTACAGAACTTTACTTAGAATGTTTGTGATGAATTATTCATAAGGTTCTATGTGCTTAGACCTTCGCGTTAGATTACCAGAATCAAATTTACTGTTCGTCAATGTTTTCCCTTCTAATACAGTGTACCGTGTTGTGAAATTTATTGGAAACAAGACATCCCTTTACGGTTTTGGAATAGCACTTTTTTTTAGTCCTTTGTTCACACAAATGGCTTTTCAAATGATGTTACTGAAAAGAAAGTGTTTCATTGGGAATCTTTATTTAAATATGTGTTGATGTACACCGATTGCATTATCATGTCTATTGTTTCAATGCGGCCTGTAAAAGCCTTGCAAACGGAGTAATGGGATATGTAACGATAAAATCCCAAATACGAATGCCTTTGTTTGAAGTTGTAGAATTGTAACTGAGTCTTCGAGGGAGAAATCTTTTATTTTCACTCATATGCATTTACATACATATTAAGCAATACACAAAACAATTATAATAGAGTCTGTAGATTTTAATGAACTGTTCGTATGAACTGGGTTTAATGAACCATTGTATTATTTTAATTCATAAAAATGACGCCACTGTTATTCTTCAGAATTATATCCAGATCTACAGCTTTGAATTTAAATGAAATGGAATGATTCTTTGACATTTTAGAAAAATTGCAAGCTGCATTATGTAATATAAAGCTATTTTAATAAATAATTAGTTATCTTGAATTTTTGTTTTTTCGGTCAATTGATTTTTCTTGTATCATGAAATGTTTGCTGAACAGTTATAATGATGAAAGTTGTCTTTGGTTTCTTTATTCATGGATTCCCAATTGTGTGTGTAGTAGCATATAAAAATAAATTTTCTCTTGAGTATACAAAATTCAAACTGCATTGAGTCAATAATTCAAGTGAATTATATAATACATGTAGATCTGTAATTTAATAGTTTTCCTTGAATTTTTTATTGCCAAAAAAAGACATCTCTTTGTATTATTCAGAGCTTGTTTTGGTCATCAAAAAGAGATTGCAAACTCTTATAGTATAAATAGAAGCTTTTTATTGTCTATTAAATAATATAATTTTTTCCCCTATTCTATTTGAGATCTTTCAAAAAATGATTTAATATGCACGAGGCGTGTTCGGAAACTACATACTGTTTCATTCTACTACAACCGCAGAAGTAGTATCATTGAAATCTTGCATAACTGTCTCTGGTTGCTTATCAGTACAGTGACGCCATTAAAATAGGGTTGTGTTGTTTTTACACGTATTAATGAGCGTTCAAAATGTTTAAGACGAATGCCGCGTGATCCCGCTGACTGTTAAGTGCGTTCTGTAATTCGTTTTGTGAACGTATGAACGTTAAGCCAGTTGAAATTCAACGACAATTTGTAGAGAGTTATAGTGAAAATATAATGGGTGCGATGAAATGAGAAAATGGGTTCTACAGTTCAATGATGGGTGAACCAATTCTCATGACAAAACATGGGATGGGCAGCCTTTTGCTGTTATTGATGGTTTGGTTGAAAAAGTGAATGAGAAAATTTGTGAAAACAGATGGTTCACAATAAGATAGCTTTGTAATGAGTTTCCACAAATTTCAAAAAAATATTTACTGGTGGCACCATTCTTCAAAAAGGGTATAGACTAGTGGATTTATCTACATGAAAAGAAGCCAGGTGATGGGGTTAACTAAATAGTTCCCAACGTGCTCTTTCACGTAAAAATAAATATTGTTTTGAAAAAAGATTTCTTATGCGGGTTTTTCCAAAATAGTACTTAAAATCTCGACAGGCCTCGTAGTTTCCTTCTTATGTATAATCAACTAATCTGCAAATAAGATATTTGTTTACAATGCCTGTATGAAAAGTCATTGGCTTACAAAACAGCTGGAATTAAACAACAAATAATATTAATATCTCTAATCTTATATGTATTAAATAACGAATATTAAATGTGAAGTTATTATGGTATATTTTTATTTTTGTTAATAACATGTCCTCTGTTAAAAATGTACCAAAATTATTCTTTCTGAAACATAAATTTTAATACACTTTAATTTTTAAGTTATATTTGAGAGAGAGATTTTCATTATACTATCAGAGAGCTAATAATCAAATATGTTGTTCAAAACTGAAAAGTTAATACTTCAATGCAATTTAAAAAATGTAACTATATTATCAATGATACATATATAATGTCAATATAATGTGTAATGTAATATAATTAAATATATTTTGTAACCGTACGAACTAATTAATAAATATTTATAAGATTAAGGAATATCCCTGTGTCCTATAAGACCAGAAAAAACCAGTTTTGTAAATATCTTTATTGAAAACAAAAAAAAAAAAAATTACTTTAATTTTTCTGTAACCTTTAGTATTAAATTTGATACAAAAGCGATATAGCCGTAAATTTCCTTGAAAATGAATACTTAAAAAAGGAATTCAAATAACATTAAGATTTAAATACAATTTATTGAGTGTATTTTTGATTCCAAAGTACTGAAGAAAAGAATTTCTTGAACTCCATTTTTCCCACTTCAGTTTGATTCCATTTGCATCTAGAAAATAATCTTGTGGTGCAAAAAATCTATCAAGAAAATAAAAAAAAAA